TTTTACACTCTTGTTTTCACACGAAGTCCTCAGGCTCGGTGTGTATTTTACACATAGAGCTCATCCCCATCCAGACCAGCCACACGTCAGGGCTTGAGTCACACGGATACGAGGCTAGTGGCTCCTGTCCTGGCCAGGCACGGGCTTGGATCTAGCCCTGGCACCCCTTGCCTGGGCACCTTCTGTGTTGTGAGGGGAACACAGGGCAGCCAGGGTCCCAGAGGCGTGCATCAGTTGTGGGCTCAGAACATAAAGTAGAGAAAGATTATCTGCACGAGAATGATTGAATTTTCTGGCATTTCTTCTCTGGGCGCCCCCCCACAGCTTCTCCACCTCCTGAAGGAGGCTCTTAGAGACCCACCCCCCTCCCATTCAACTCCCACACTCCCGCCTTCCCTCTCTGCTTGGAAATGGCCACGGAGACTGCAGCAGAGCCTCCTTGGAGACACGGAGGACATTAATCAGTTTCACAGCTGGAGGCAAAATGATCTAGTGCAGCAATTCCTCCATTAAGGGGCTTTCTCTTGGCCCTTCCATTGAGCAAGGCTTTTGCATACAGTGAAATGTGCTTTGTCTTCACCAGGGCAGACAAAGGATTAAATTAAAAGAGCAATAACCTAGCTGCTAGCTGGGCTTCTGGGAAGGCAGCAGGGGCAGGCGCTCTGTCTCTGAGAAGTGGCAGCTGGTTGCACCTTTTGGTCTTCCTAGGAATAAAGTCATCATGTGCCCAACCTGGCCCTACCAGGGGTCCTAGCTGGATGGGACTTTTCAGTGCATTGAGCAGCCCCTATTTCCAGATGAGGGAGGGAACTGAGGCCTTCACCTGGGCCAGGTAACTCCAGTGAGAACCACAGTCTCCCGACCCATCCCCTTCTACCCTATTCTGGCAAATTCTGCCATTGGTGTCCCACCCCTTTCTTTCCTGAGTGCCAGCGCCACCCCCGTCCCCACTGATTCAGCCCCCCTGACGTCTGCCTGCCAACTCTGGAGCACAGCCTGAGATCTCAGCAAAAGGCGTTCTACTCCAGGTTCTTGTTAAAATGCTCGCAGAAGGAAAAAGCAATGGCGGGGGACATTTCCCACTCTGCGTATGTGGCCACTGCTGAGTGTCCACATGCCGGAGAGACACTCTCAAACAGACGGAGTCATGGTCGTAAAGACTGGATCTGCGAAGCCTGAGTCTCATCTGGCAGCACAGGACCCCGGCTGATTATGGAACGGGAACGACAGAGTGGGAAGCACCGGATCCGCAGCGTTTAACAGTGAAGGATTACATTGTTAACAGCATCATGCATTTGTCAACGTGCCTCTTAAAAACACTCAAGTTCTCGTCTATAACCCACCTAGCGCATCCTCAGAGCAATGCGACACAAGCGGAAGCCAAGCTACTGCTTGTGGAGGGTAGTATGTCATTTAGTAGTTTTCCTTCTCCGAGGCACCCTCCCTCCCTGCTCCCCAGCTCCCACCCCTGAGCTGACGTGGGGGTGGAACAGGGGAAAAGAGGGAGAGGAACTGGGGCTTTTACAAAATATTCAGCTTAAACTGAAAAATATAATAGGAATGTGGCATCGTGTTTGTAAGTTGCCACGGCCCAGTTGGAAGATTATACCATGTGCTGGTGGCCCTCTGGGGTGGGTTTGGGACCATGAACTCAGTGACTCGCAGAGTCGTCAGCACTGCCTGGACTGGGAGAGAATAAGAGTCCTTCTTTCCCCCTGGAAACTTGGCCTAGGGTGGCCTGGAAACTTCTCTGTTCTATAGGAGATGGGAGGCTGAATCCTTGTGGCTAGTGTCCACTGCGGGCCTGAAAGCAACTGAGGGCTACAAAAGCCACACGGGTCGAATCATTGGCTGGCGACTCCCACTGCGGTGGGGCAGCCAGCCCTCCAGGGTGTGGCGCCCCTCCACCCCAGGCCACCACCCCAGGGAGCCTGACATTTCAGGAGACTGGGCCAGCTCCCTCTCACCTTCCTTTCTCCGTACACCAGTGGCACAATACAGGATGAATGGGGCAGGAAGGATGGGCCGGTTGTCTTCCAAACTGGAGCTTTTGTGTCCAAGAGCAAACCATAGCTGCAAAGAGGCTGCAAATAGAGAAACCTGGGGTGGTGGTAAAGGAATATTCCCAGCAGGGAAACCAGAGCGCTTGTCTGACAAGCATTTGTTAACTGAATTGATCTGATTACTCAGGACTTTTCTTAGCCAGTACTGGGGCAGAGAGGGGCTGCAGTTGCTTTTCATTCTATGTAATTTCTGTTTTCCAAGAATGAATATCAAGGGAACAGCTTTGATTAAACAAGCCTTTTAAAAGGGGGAGAAAACGCCAGGTTTTACAGAAAGCCTTACTGAGTTGCTGGCAAATGGCCACATGACACAATATTTTTAGTCTATGGATATTATCTCTTTTCTAAGCACAAAACTGCTATTCCCATTAACACAGCTCGTAGGTTCAGGGAAAAAAGAAATTAGCCTGGCTCTGAAAAAAAAATCAAGATTCCAGGAAATCAGCCTCTTAATAGAAATTAAAAATAAAATTCTCATGTCCCTATTTCTACAGTTCTCCATATCCTTTCTATCTGCTGCTCTTTCTTTCCTTTCTTCCTTTCTTTCTGCATTAGTTGTTGAGTCTGTAGGCCAAACTGTAGAAGATTTCATAGCCAAACCTAGCATGACCACATTCAAACAGAATTTTTAAAAATGTTTGGCACGAGCTCAAGCAAGAGTGAGACCCCGTCTCTACAAAAATAAAAAAAATTAGCAGGGTTTGGGGGTGCGCACCTGTAGTCCCAGCTACTCAGGAGGCTGAGGCAGGAGGATCGCTGCAGCCCAGTAGTTGGAGGCTGCAGTGAGCTACGATCACCCCACTGCACTCTAGCCCGGGTGACAGAGCAAGATCCTGTCTCAAAAAAAAAAAAAGAGTTCAGCATGACTTCTTATTGTTGCTTTTTTTTCATTTTGTTTTAAGATTCTCTAAGGTCGGAATGTTGGTCTCACATAGATGGGCAATGAACAAGAAGAAAAACCCCAATGTTCAAAAAATATTTATTAGGCATCTATTATGTGCCAGTCACGGAGGATATAGCGGTGCATAAAATGAAGCCCTTTTTTTCATGAATCTTACCTTCTAAGGAGACAGTATTGCCTAACATTTACTAGAACTGCCAGGCACTGTTCTAGCACTTTACAAGATAACCCCATGGGGCATGCCCTAGTACTGCTATTCTTCGTATAAGCTCTGTCAGCTGCAAAGTGGGGAACCAGGATTCCAACCCAGGCAGTCTGGCTCCAGGGTCACCAAAGCTAATTTACTACCCTAATGCATGACTCCTGTACTCCAGAGAGGTCTCAGAGTCCTCCTTCTCCGTTCCCATCATATCTTGCATTCGTCCCTCCCCCACATCTTCTTTGTCTGTTCCCTCAGTTGACCATGAGCTTTTGGACGATGGGGCCTATCTGTCATCTCTGTATCCCAAGACTTTACAGTGCTTGGTACCAATGAGCGTTAGAGACTCACCTCCTAGAGCATTTCAAAACCCATGTGCAGAGACATCCTGATTGCATGTAGTAAATGCCCCCATGGGTCTCTAAGACCCTGTCATTCCATCACATCCAGCTTGGGTCTCTGATTTATGGATGTGTGAGGATTCCCTGCAGGGAAGGCTCTGCTCAAAGACACAGGACTGCTCTATGTGCAGGCCTAGGCAGTTGCTGTCCAGGCAGCGAACAGGAGAGTTGATGGAGGGCTTGGGATTTAAACATCACGCCTCGGAGTGCTGCCAAGGTGCTTCTGCAATCTGGGGGGCTGGGAGAAGGGTGCTCTGTGGCATTGCCCAAATATTTCCTCTTAAAAATGAATGGGAAACACCTATATGAGCAGCAAGAAAGACTTAGTAAAATAACCCCCTACAGTACAATGCTGTGGCATCATTAATTAAAAAGGCCATAAAATAAGATTTAAGAACATGGGTAAATGCTCAAGATATAAATAAATAGAACAGATATTATAATTTTTATTTGAACATCTCAGTTTTTTGAAGGGTGTAAGTTTGCACAGAAAAGAACAGAAGGCTATCATCAAAATCATGAGATTTTAGAGGTGACTTATATTTCATCTCTTCTTTTGTACTTTTCTCTTTCCCAGTTTTTATACAAAAATATATTCATCACAACTAGAAAAACATTATTAAATAATAAACAGAAAGTAAACACTTTAAAAAATGGTTTAAATGCCTGATACTGGCCCCAAGGGAGACCTTTAATCTTTCTTTTTTGTGCACGTTCTCTTCTTGCACTGGGAGCTCCGCAGTGATCACAAAACAGCAAATTGCTGGGTTGGAAACCTTGGCAGGTTTTCCTTTGATTCTAGACTTCAGGGGCTGTGGCTCTGGTTACAAAACCTCCACTGATTATCTGATCCAGAGATCTAAGGCCTTGAGGATAGAACATCCCTCATCCTAGCAGGAAATAATGAAACCTTCTAACCTTGAAGCCGTTAGGAACAAATGGGTATAAACACGTAGTCTGCAGTGTTGCTGCAGCCCTTCATATTTTACAGTGTGCATTCTCATTTAATACTCACAATAACGTGGAGGAGCAATTGTCGTATCATCCCTAAGCTATGAGCAAGAAAGGGACTTGCCCCAGATCTTGTGGCGAGGACTGGAGCTTGGACCCAGCTCTTGTGATCTGGGCCCTTCCTCTGCTTCCTTGACTCCATCGTGGGAGCAAGAAAGCAACCTTGATGAGCACCCGTGGGTGGCTCAGGCACAGTCCTCCTGTGGGCTGGCCCTTAGTGGGCTGCACAGATGAGCCTGTCTGCTCCTGTCAGACCAAGTGGCTCTGGGCAGGGTGTCTTCAAGAGAGCTGGGCTTGGCATTGGGAGCCAAGGATGACAAAGACTCTCACCTACCAAAGATGTGGGAAGGGCTTTACTGGTGACCACATGCTAGAAATTAGATTTCAAAAGCTCTTCTATAGCCCCAAGCCAGATTCCAACCTGTCCTCTAAGCCCTGCTACGTTTCATTCTCAGCTCACACATGTTCCTTGTTCCTTCCGCCATTGCAACGAGTAATGCCTGTGCACATTTTTATACCCTGCTTTGTAGAAAGTTCTTTTAAGGGTAGTGACCAGATCCTACTCCTTTGGGTATAGTCCTGCTACTCAGTGTGTGGTAGGTGTGTTCAAACAGTGTTGGTTAAAGCCAACAAACACATAGAATCTAAGCCAGAGGTTGCCCAGAGGGGAAGTGAGAACACAGTGAGGGCATAAGGAGACGGGACTCAGAAGCAGAGCCTGCCTGGACAGGGACCTTTGCACACTTTCTGTAATGGAAGCAGGGTCCGATGACAGCTTCTCAGGGTGGGGTTAATCGGGGCCATAGGCTCAGACCAACAGATCCAGAAGTTTCTTGATTCAAGAGCCATTAAGTCCGAGAGCTGCGCATTTGGACCTCTTCCTGACGCATAGGAATATTCCATGGGTTACGAATACAAAGTGAGAACTGAACAAACACTTCTGGGGAAAGGTGTATAGGTGTGCTGCTGCCTTAATAAAATGTTTTCCCTCGTTTTTTAGTATTTCCTGATTTCTCCCTCAAAGAACTTTGGAATGTCTGCTAATGGTACCCTCTTCTCCACAACAGAATTGGACTTTGAAGCAGGACACAGCAGGTAGCCTTGCCCGTGCTCGAATACTGTTTGTCCGAGGGTGGAGGGCAGCTGCCCCCAGCAGTCCGCTGCCTCATTTTAAGCTCAGAGGGCAGGCGGAGCGTGCCACAGGCAGACACCCGCCCGCAGAGATGGTGGCTGTGGATAAGCCACTGCGGAAGAGCCGGGCGTGGGTTTAGAGATGGGGGAGAGGACAGCAGGTGGCCAGGGGGCAGACTCTTCCCTCACTCCTCCCACCCCATTTCCCGTACCCCGTTTTGAGGTGGTGTAAGCAGAGCTTGATTCTCTCACTTGGGGTGTTTCCCTGACAGTTTCCGTCTCACTGTGGAAGTGAGGGACAGCGGAGGCCTCAGAGCCTCCACGGCGCTCCAGGTGAACATCGTGAACCTCAACGACGAAATCCCTCGCTTTACCAGGTAGGCCTGAGGCACGCAGGACCCCGGGCTGCAGGCTCCATCCTTCTTAGGCGGCTTGGTCTCCTTTGACTCATTTAACGCAAGACAGAGGGGTGCCCCTCGCTCTGGCCTAGAGCAGAGCCAAGAGGCCTGAGATCTTCCACGTCCTTCATCTGGCCTCTGCACTTGTGTTTTCCACCTTTGCTGCCCACGCCCCCGCTCCCCCACACCCCACGCGCCGGGGGATTGTAGATATGGTGGGCAGAGGGGAGGGGTGGGACACAGCTCCTGGTGCGTGGCTTGCCCCTGTGCGTTAATGACAGCAGAATCCTAGCGCACGTACCGTCGGGCAAGGCTCCCTGAAGCCTGCCTTAGAGTGTCGGCCTCGCACCCAGCAGCCTGCCTTAGAGTGTCGGCCTCGCACCCAGCAGCGGTGGCTGCCCACTGCTGGCCGTGCTGAAGTTTCTTCCTGTCATGGTGGATCCAGAAAAGAGATCTGGCTGTGTGACAGCTCCTGTGTCCGGCAGAGGTGAGGGAGGTAAATGCATCTGGTAGGGGCAGTTTGTGGCAATGTGCCTGGCACCATCCCAGGCACAAAGGGAGACTCGAGCCTATAGAAGATGGTGGATGCAGGGGCAGAGGGTGGGATTCTGAGCTAGCAGCTGGCACTCCAAACAGCCTGGCTTGCTGGTTAGAGCCTCTGCCCGCCCCAGTCCCAGACATGGGCATAGGAGCCAGCCACAGGGACAGTGGCAAAATCACCTGCCTGGGGTTAACTGCATTAATGGCCATGAATAGATTCAGCACTGACCAACAAAAAGCCATTAGGCCGCAGAGCGAGGTGGATGGCTTGCAAAAGTATCCCAAGATTGGGAGATATTAAAGCCACCCCACTTCCAGGCTAACCTGGTGCCAGGTGGCCAACACACTGCAACTGTGAAACTTGCGGATGTTGTCATGGTCTACAGGCCAGTTGTAGGTGAACGTGGAGGGAACAGCAGCAGACAAACTCCCATGCAATGCTTCCCATCAGTGCCGATGCTGGCTCAGACTCCCAAGGAGAGCACAGTGCGTTTCTGCTGATGGGCCGCTCCAGGAGCACGGGCCAGGCAGTTTAGTAATACTTGGGACATCCCAGCCCAGACTCAGGTTCTTCGGGACCCCCAGAGGAAAGCGATGGCTGCTGGGCTGGAGCAGATGCATTCCCTGAGGCCTTCCCCACACACCCCGTCTGTGAGGAGGGAAGCAGGTTAATGGGGCTGCAAAGGAAAAAATAATACATTATCTCCAGGGGCAGCACTTGCAAACCATCTGGTTTGGGCTACATCTTCCAAAATACAGAAATTGACCTCAGCAGAGAGAGAACATGACCCTGGTTGGTTTGAGGGGCACCCAGAGGTCAGGCTGGTGCTCTCTGGTTCTCCCTTTTGGTTTGAGAGAGGATTCTGTTGGCTCCCTCCATGCAGAGAGTGTGATCTGTGCGAGCATCTGATTTTTTTAGTCGGTCGACTTTGTTTCAGTGTTCCATGGGTGGTGGTAAGGACTGTGAAAGCCTCCACTCCAAAAGGAGGATTTGGGGCAGGGTGGCTGCCCCGACTTAGAGCCAGCCTCGTCCAGCAACCATCCGCAATCGGAAAGGGTTCGCTTCCTGGTAGACTAGCTGCTGACTTTGAGGGCTTTCTTGGTTCCCCTGAGCTTCTCATTTTCCTTCCCCCCCAAATCAGTGCCAACACTAACCATAAATTATTTAACTCAGGATTAACAAAATGAAATCCTCAAACTGACCCAAGTATGCTGAGTTTGAGTGTGAAATATTAATAGAAATGTAAAATGTAGAAACGGCCCTTCTATCTTTACCTGTTGTTAAACTCCTGCAATTAATACAACAACGGCAAGCCCTGTTACCTGCCTGTCTGCTGAAAATGTCTTACCATTCTATCCCTGGGTGGTGACAAACATCAGAATGCTTTATGGACTCATGACGTGTACCCTAGGAGCCTGCTATTATAAAAGCCGAGCACTTTATTATAAAAGTACCTGACATATTTACTCTTCAGGTGTGCGTAGGGCTTGCTGTTTTGCAGAGCACTTTATTTTAGAGTTGGGCAGGTAGGTCTTTCTCCCCTCCTGCCCATTTCTCTTATATTTACTCTCAGTCCTTCTCCACGTGGTGCCTGGCAGTGCCACGCACACCTTAGGCACTCACTAAATACTCATTCCAGCAATGCAGCCATACCCCTCTCAAAGAAGGTCCCACATAGGGAAAATCTCGACTTGGGAAACTAGGAAATTAGAGGTGAAAATTTGCCCCACTGAAATCACTTTCCCTCAGCAAAAGGACCTTCTGCAGAGCTATTTTAAATGATAAACCTCCCTTGGTGCATTCACAATTACTCAGTTTATCCAAATTGTATAGTTGTTAAAACTCCCGTCCTCTCTGTTTTATTACCGGCCTTTTCCAATGGCCTTGGTGACTGAGGAAAATGGGTAAGTCGGTGTTTTGGGGTTATCTGGTAAGAAGTCATCCTTGGAGGACAGTCATCTGACCTGATCTTCTGTCAGGAGACTCATTGCTCAGTTCAGAGAGCCGCTGACCTCATGATTAATGTGACTTGGAAAGGTATACAAGTTCTGTCTATAAATTCTGTATACTTAGGCAAAAAAAAAAAAAAAAGAAAGAAAAGAAAAAAAAAGACAAGGAAGAAAAAAAAGTGAGCAAAGGCACTAGAATAGAGAAATTTTACAATTTTTCCAGCTTCTCCCATCATGGGATGGGAGTCAGGAATAAGGAAGAGAACCTGTAGTTGTGGACATAATGTCCAAATGGATTTGTAAAAGAATTTAGGGAACTTTTGCACCAAAATTGGGAGACCAAGAGGAGATAGCTGGATAGTCCAACCATCCTCATTTTAAAAGATGCTAGTGCCGAAGCTGATCTGCAATGGCGTGAGGTAGGTGTGCACAGTCAGAGACTGTGGTCCATGTAAATCGTTGCATTAACAGTGTGGTTCTTTCTTTGCATCCACGGGGATGTGATCTTTGGGAATACAAAGCCAGTCACCCCTCCTCTCAGCTGCTGTGCTCTCCCTCTGAGCATGTTGATGCAACTCAAACAGCTCAGCGCTATATTTAGTACCAACCAAAATACCCACCCTCCCATGCCCCTGAAAATTAGCTGTGTCTGCTGTATTTCTGTTCCAGCCCAACGCGAGTGTACACGATTCTGGAGGAACTGAGTCCAGGAACCATTGTGGCCAACATCACAGCTGAGGATCCTGATGGTGAAGGTTTTCCCAGCCACCTCCTATACAGCATTACTACTGTTAGCAACTATTTCGTGATAAATCCGTGTAAGTCACACACATCCATCCCTAAGTGCATCTTCTAATTCGGCCATTTGGATTGTTTTACAGTACAGTTGTCCCTCGGTGTCCAATGGGGATTGATTCCAGGAACCCTGAGGAAACCAAAATCCGTGGACACTCAAGTCCTTGATAGAAAATGGTGTAGTATTTGCATACAGCTTTGTGCACATCCTCCCATATACTTTACATCATTTCTAGATTACTTGTAATACCGAATGCAATATCAATGCTATGTAAATAGTAGTTATACTGTATTGTTTAGGGAATAATGAGAGAAAAATGTGTATTTTATTGTAACCCAACATATCTAAAATATTATTTCAACATGTAATCAATATGTAAAATTATTAATGAGATAGTTTACATTATTTTCTTTAGTACCAAGTCTTGGAAGTTCGTTGTGTATTTTATACTCACAGCACATCTCAATTCAGACTAGCACCATTTCGAGTGCTAAATAGCTACATGTGGCTAGTGGAGACCATAGTGGACAGTGTCACTCTAGATCAATCTGCTGGATTGCGGGGAGTTATTTTCCCATCTGAGTATCTCAGTGCAGGGATGGAAAGTTCTTCCCTTCTGTAATAGCCATCTTTTATTACTGGGGCCTTGGTATATACCAGGCATTATGCTGAGTGACGAAAATGCATTATGCCTCAGGTACTCAACATGACAACCCAATGAACTACTATAATCCACATTTTACAGATGAGGAAACTGAGGCTTAGGGATAGACTCAGACAGGTTAAATGACTTGTGCAAGGTCTTACAGCTCCAGGGCCTGCCCTATTAACCACTACTAGACCATCCCACCTCCAATCACTTCACCAAAACAGATTTCACTTCACATAACGATTTCATGGAGGCCAGCCGTGGGCAATCCCAGAAAGCCAGTGTGTTACTGGTTCCATAGGCTTCAGAGCAAAGGATACTGCTGCCCAGGAGAGGAAAGCAAAGGCAACAATTGTCCTCTAGCTCTGAAAACTTCCCAGTGCTGTCACTGAGGACCTCAGTCAGCTGATAATGTCGGGACAGACAAGCATGGTTGAGATTTCTGTTCACTCTGATATTGCAAAATTAAACTTTTAACAAGTACAGACAAGTACAGTGGGTTTTGTTTTTTTTTTTTTTTTGAGCATATTTATCAAGACTCTTTGGTTGTAAGTAACAGAAACTAAGGCAAACCAAACTAAGCAAGAGGGGAAAAAAAAGGTAAAGACATCTATCACCAGGATCCTGGGTCTCTCATAAGAAAGAGTCAAATAATCGGGGCCTAGGAAAGGTGTGAACCAGCACTGGCCCAGGGGCCTCGGTGGTAGAGCGCTGGCCTTTTACCTGTAGCTCCACTATCAACCTGACTGATTCCCCAACATGGGACTCTCAGTTATAATTTCCCCAGAAGACAACCCAGCGGGTCAAGCTGGAATCAGCTATCCACCAGTCCAGTCAACTACGGGCAAGGGCTGCTGCCAGGAGCCCAACCCTGAAGTCTGTTGTGAAAAATTCTAGAAGAGTCAAACCAGATATCCCAACAAATGTCTAGCACAGGAACTCACATGGGATTTCCTAAAACAGTGTTTGTATTGAGAAGATTCTCTATGTAAGCCAGTCCTCAAAGGAGAATGACCTTTTCCCATTTTTTCCACATTTCCATATTCCTTTACTCTTCGTTTCTCTTCAAAGGGTCATGTTCTAACCTTTGCCTTCTTAGTGACTGGCACCATTCTAGTGGCCCAGAGGATAGACCGAGATGCAGGTGAATTAAGACAAAATCCTGCCATTTCTGTAGAGGTTCTGGTGAAGGACAGACCCCACGGAGGTCAGGAGAATCGCATGCAGATAACCTTCCTTGTGGAAGACATCAACGACAACCCCGCCACGTGCAGGAAGTTCTCCTTCAGGTATTCACGGTTTGAAACTCGTGCTGAGCATTTTACCTCTTTGGTGGTCCTTGGCCCTTTGGCTTCTCTGGTATGTTCTCAGAAGGGACTGCAGAATTATGGGCATCTGGGGAAACGGCTCATGAAAATAAGTAGATTCGAACTGTCCAATTTTGTTCACAGGTTTTCTTTTCCTCATCCTTTTTTTCTTTCCTCTCTTTCATTTTCTTTCCTCTCCATTATCTCCCGTCTCCACTTTCTTACTCTTTTAAGAATTATTTTTTATTTTGTTCCCTTCTAAAACCTGTTTATCTCTGTTGGTGAAAAGTACCACAGGGACTTGTTAGGTCCTCTCCGGGCTGTGCCTTTTCTTTATTTATTGCCACTGGTGGCAAGATGGTGCTGTTAGCAGTTGTAATAGATGCTTGAGACTTAGGCTTAGTAAATAGGAACTCCCAGAGAAACACACCACCAGTAATGTGCATAAATCAAATCAAGCACTCATGTAAAACAAAACAAAGCATTCAATTCACCTTACACAACTTAATTGCATATAAACAAAAGGCAACCAAAGGGAAAAAATACAGATACAAGTGGGATATGAGGGTTACTTTATAAATGTTCACCATTCTTTGTCTCACAATCTATTCACTGTTATTTTAAAATAAGGCCCCTTGTGATCCTGGGTTAATATGCTTTTTGAAAACAGTATTGCCATTCTACTATTTTGTCAAAAAGCAACATGAACATGATTAGTAATTTCCTGTGTTAGCCTCATCTCTGAGCTTTCATACCAGCCACTCTCTGGTTTCTTGAGAATCTGAAAAGAGCTCTTTGTGGGGGGGATTGTGGAGAGCACCTCCGCGGTGACCCTTGCCAAGAGAGAGCCCTGCATCTGGAGCAAGGCTGAAGACAAGAGCAGGTCTCAGTTTCAGATATCCCCATGGAGAGTCTCCTGAGTTTATCTTTTACTGGTTTTGCAGGTTTTCTCCAGGTGACTTTGGACACAGACCCAATACATGCAAAGGGCAAAGGACCCCACCCTAGACAAGGATTGTCTAGGATGAACAATAGAAATATAAATTCCTTTATTATGTTTATGAATGTCTCTGTTCTCCCAAATGACATGCCCAGCATAATGCTAGAGAATCAGTGTGTCCTTGAGTCTGATATCAAAACAGTTCAATTCTGTTCTGGACACACCCCCGATCTGTCTGTTCAGATCCAGTCTCCACCCTGCACTGTGCCCCAGGAGGCTGACCTGCACGGATACCAGCTGGCTCCCTTGCCTTCCAGCTTCTGGTTGGCCAGCAGAGAACCCTGGAGGGAGGGGGAAAGGAAGGTCAGGATATTTATCCCTTGCTCCTTCTTTGTGGACTGGATGTATTCCTCTTGCTCCTGGAGGTCTCAGTCCCCACAAGGCAGCCCTCTGCACATGGTACTCTCTGTCTCTGGTTTCAGGCACTGCTTCCTCTGCTGGCTCCTGTGGGCCTAGAGATGGTGAGGATGCTCCTCTTATTAGCCCTGAGATACTGTACCACCCCTTGAGATTTCCATGTACTCTGAGTGCACCTTTGTAATAGCCCATTACTAAGCCCTCCTAGATTTATCCTAATCTGCCATCTGCTTCCTGTGGACACCCTGACAAAGTCAGTCACAGCCTTGAGCATGTGATAGGTTCCTGTCTCAACCTAAGCATTCATGCACCTCGGAGTCTGTTCCATGGGTGCCGATGGTTGCTGTAGGTAGGATTGTGACTTCCACACCACTGCATGCATACATGCATAAATTAAAGCCACCCTCTGTTGAGAGATGTCTGGGCCCTGGGATGGAGTCACACGTACACTTTCTTTGAAATTCTAAATCTATGCTGGTCCTCGTGGATGGTCCCAGTGCATCCTGGGAAATTTCTCCCCTCTTGTCCTGCCCTCCCAGCCCTCCTGGTCTTCTTTGTTCACCTGCCCTGAGAGGTGGGGGATGGGGGTTCAGGAGCGAGAACTCTGGGTATCTATGCCTGGAGAGGGCTGTGCTGTCTCAAATCTTCCTTGTCCTTTTCTCCCTTGGGCGCATATCTGTTAATTGCATATTTGGCTTCCTGTGGTCCAGAGTCCCTTAAGGCGTAGGAGGACATTTGCAGACTGTGTTCCAGATTAGCTGGTGAAGTCACAATTTGAATACCCCACACTGTCCAGGCCGGCCCATAGGGAGTCCTGCTCTTCATAGTCTCTCCACATTAGCCCTGAAGGCCAATGCTATGTCAGTAACTGGACTAACTGTATTTATTACTGAAGATCATCTAAACGACACTCAAGTCCCTTCTCCGGGCTTTTCCAAGGCTCAGCCATCCTAGGACCACCAAGATGTGAGGAGGAGAGACAAAAGGGCTCCCTCCCATGCAGTACCAGAGGCTGCAGTCTGCTCGCCCATGGCTCGTTTGCATACTGGGCGGGTGGGGGCCTAGAAGTCCTGAGCCTGCACCCCCTGTCCTCCTCCTCCCTTCTAATAGTGTCAAAGCCCAGCACACAAGCAGCTCAGAACAGAGCAAAACGACAACAGAAATGGTGCCCCGCCAGTCTCTGACACTTGTCCCTTCCTCAAGGGTCTTGGGCGCGGTCCCTGCTGTGGTCCCTGCGAGAGCAGGTGCAGGAGCAGTGGGGCGGGCGCCAGCACCCACAGACAGCAGCAGGCTGCGGGGGGCCCATGGGGCGGAGGGCGGCCTGGAGGAGGCGGGCGCCCCCTGCTGCCCCCGAGTCCACGCAGGGCCCCAGCTTTCAGCCGAGGAGCCTGCAGCTTTCCCAGGCTGGTAATGAATGAGCCCAGGGCCCCCTACGGAGGCATCAAAGGCGCCGTGACAGCCCCCGCTCTGGCTGTAAATCGTCGGGCGCTTGGCTGAAAGCGCTGCGCAAGCTGTTTTCGAGCAAGAGGCAGAGAAGGTTGGCAGATTCAGAAGGGGCCGGACGCAGTCACCTTTGCCTAGGGAGAGAACTGTGGTCAAATGGCTGGGAGCAGGGCAGCTCGCCTTTGAGGCCCGGATTGATGAATGAGGGGGAGTGGCTTTCCAAGTCACGAGTTTAGGGGAAGAATACCAAGTGTCTGAGGAGAATGAAAGAACATGCCAGGCAGCCCCGAGGGGCCAAGTGTAGGGGACTCTTTTGGAGTGACTGAAACGTCTGGCTTCAGGACCCAGGATTCTTTGGATGATGCAATCTCCTGGCTTTGGCAGGGTTGTAATCAAGGCTCAGATCCCCAAACCATCTGTGTACCTGGATAGTCTTTCACAGAACTCAGTAAAGTTTACAGTGACTTTACTTTACAGTAAAGTTTACAGGCAATAGAGACTCGTGTCTGCATGCATCTACTCTTGGACAGGCCTGGAAACCACTCTGAACCACTCTCTCCTCCTTTGCAAAATGGGGACAAGAATACAAACCTCCTGGAGATGAGGGAATTAGAGGTCGTGTTTTTAAAGTGCTTGGTATGATACAGCATGTGGTTGGTGTTTCATAAATGGTATCTATTCTAAGTACTTATGAATAAAACCATGACATCGTGCAATCAAGGCCAGAATGAGAATGCTCAGACTTCAGCCCTGCTGAAACATGGGGTGATCTTTGCTCAGAAGGCATCCTGGAGGCTCAGCTAGACCTACTTTCTCTCCGGCAAGCAAAGCCGTTATCCTCAGCAGCCCAAGGCCATCCTTGCTGTCAGACTGTGTTTTGCATGTGCTGAGCCCAGACCCATTTTAGCTGCCATTAAGAGAGGGTGTGGAATGTAGAAGGGAGCGTAACTTGGCTGCAGAGAGAAGTACAGAGGATTAAAGAACTTAACACGTGTTAGTCTGGGTGCTCTGAGAACCAGATGCCAAGACAGGATTAAATATGCAAGGCTTTTATTAGGAGAAATGCCTGCGGGAGAAAACGGGGAGAGAGATAGACAAGGCTGCGAAATCATCAGACCAGGTTGCAAGTCTGACCTGAGTAAAGGAAAGAGGGAGAGAACATGGTTTAGAAAGTTCTAGACTGACCTGCAGTCTAAAGAACATTCAGCTAGGACATTGGGAGTCCTGGAGCCAAATTTAGCCATCATAGGACAGGAATGAGACTGTCTTGGTATCTCAGTCATTGGTACAGGGCCTCGCTGCAAACACAGTGATGCATTTCAGAGCCCGGCAGCTGAGGCTACGTTCCTGTCGCGGTTGAAGGTCTTCCAGGCACATTCTTGTGGCAGCCGCAATATATTTTTGTAAGAAATTCTGCCAAGGCAAAATATGATCGAGAAAAATAGCAAAAAATGAAAACAAACAAAACAAAACAAAAACCAGCCACAATTCCTCCCTGCCTGTATGTGTGCTCCTTTGCAATGTGATTTTGCTATTCTTTCTATCAAGAGATGGGTCTTTCTTTCTGCTCTTTGAATATGGGCTTGACCATGTGAATTGCTTTGACCACTGGAACATTGATAAACATAGCACAACAGAGGCTTTAAAAGTGCTTGTGCATTGGAACTTGCCCTCTCTTGCTACTTCTGGAACTCTGAGACCGCCATGCAAACAGCCTAAACTAGCCCCCTAGAGGATGAGAGACAACAAGAAGCAGAGACCCACCAACTTCCCACCACCAGATGTGTGAGCGTGGCCATCCTTGGCCATCCAGTCCCAGCGGAGCTGCCAGTGACCACAGAGACTAGCCAAGCCCAACCAGAACCAGAAGAACTATGGGATAACCCATACTATTGTGAGAAATAATAAGTGCTTGCTGTTTTAATGCACTAAGTTTTGGGCTGGTATGTTATGTAGCAAAAGCTAACTGACATGACTTATGTCCATTTTATAGAAGGAGAAACTGAAACCTGGAGATACGATAAAGGCCCTCAATGAACTGAAGTGTAAAAGTGTCAGTCTTCCTCGGAGTCTCCCACACCAGGCTGGGCTTGACCACTGAGTTTGGGGGTAGCTTTACTCATTTGCATTATTGGCCTAGACTGTAGAATCAACTGAGATTGGGACCCCCACATTTGACCCTTAATAAACCTCTTTTGATGAATGAGACTAAGGTGTTAGGAGGCCCATCCGTGACAGCGGCGCCACAAGACACAAGTTGAGGAATTCCCAATTTTCAAAGCATGGGGGATGAGGGATTACAGGCATTTTCCCCAACCAGATCATAAACTCCTGCAGGGAGGGGGTGAGATTTATATTTCTCTTACATTCTTCCTCACGACTGTACGAGTCTCATAAGCTATCATTCATTCATTCATTCAACAAATATGTACTGAGTGTGCCAGGAACAAAGCAGACAAAGATCCCTGCCCTCATGGAGTTTACATTCTAGGAGGGAAGTAGACAATAAACATGATAAATAAGTAAAATATGTAGTATATTGGATAATGATAAGTGCTAAGAATTAAAAATAAAGGGGGGAACAGGAGAGGATGCACTGGGCAGCCATTGTTGACATTTTAGATAGGGTAGCATTGCTGATAAGGCGACATTTGATTAGAGAATAAAGAAAGTGAGAACATGAGCCAGGCAGGTTTTTGCGGGAAGAGCATTCCGCAGCGAGTGTGGTAAACCCAAGGCTGCAGCCTGGCGGAGTGTCCAGGAGCGCCGGGAGGCCAGAGCGGTGGGAGGACAGAGGACAGGAGAAGAGTTAGTAGGAGATGAGTTCAGCGAGGTAACAGGGGAGTGCGTTATGAAGGGTCCAACAGATCAAAGTTGGGACTTTGAGTGAAAAGACGGGCCATTTGGGACGTAGGAGCAGAGGAGTGACAAGATCTGACAACATTCTAACAGGATCCCTCTGGCTGCTGTGTTAAAAATAGCCTGAAAGGAGGCAAGGGCAGAGCCAGGGAGACCAGTTAGGAGGTTACTGCAATAACCATGAACTTCCTTTGAATTGAAATTAAAGCAGAGGTGTCTAGCCTAGGGCCTGTGTGAGAAGGAACACTCAATCGCCATTTGTTGGGGGAAAATATTGAATCGAGTCTTTTCACCAGCATTATGGTGCCTGAAAGAACAGCCAAGGGGACGTTGCTTCTCGACCTGAACAAGTTCTGCTTTGATGATGACAGTGAGGCACCAAACAACAAATTCAACTTCACCACGCCATCTGGAGCGGGGAGCAGCAGCAGATTTTTACAGGATCCAGCTGGCTCTGGGAAAATCGTGGTCAGTTAATGGTCATTGCTTCATTAAAAGGGCATCGGGGAGTGGTCCAACATGCATAGAGCTTTTGCTGCCCCACAGAGAGAAATTTCCAAGGTAACCCCCTCTCCGAGCGACTGTAACTGACAGACTTAATAGCGAGTCTGTGTTCCCCGTTCGCTCTTTATTTTTCCAAGGTCTGGGAACCGTTTGTTATGCATAGCTGTGCCTGGGGTGCTAAAGACTGGATTCTTTCTTGCGTAGCATGCAGTTTGCGTGCCTGCTTAGCGCGCCTTTATAGACACATTAGTGCCCTCCGTGCTCCAGTACTTTTGTTTATTTTAGTGCTCATTCCCAGCCCCTAGAGTGTGAGGTGAGAGAAAGCAGGGCCTTGAGTGTATCTGGATAAATTCCACACCGTAGAACCACTGGAGGCCCAGAGGAGGAGGCGACAGTGAGCACGGGTAGGGAGCCCTGCCCCAGCCATTCCACAGGGCAAAAGCAGTATTGAAGAAGGATGGGCATAAAAGGGGGGGCTTGATGAGCTGTGTGAGACCTTCATTTACAGGGCTCCTGCTGGAAGATGGTGGAGAAGGGGAGAAAAATGGAAGGGCAGGGCAGGCAGGTGGGGTCTGGAAGTGCTTTCATTAGAGACCAAGCTTCAGGGAGGACAGCAAGCAGCCTCTCTCCTTCCCCTCCCCTACTGCGTCTCCACTGCCATCCCAAGCCCTTCTCAATGCCCAAGAAAGTCTCCCCAACTTTATTCATAGTGTCCCCTAAAAAATAAATTTCTGTTTTTTTCTGTTTAGGAAATTAATATACACTCACTGTAGAAAATGTAGAAAGCACAGAAAAGCATTACCATTCAGTGATAACCACTATTAATATTTTGATATATTTCCTTCTTGTCTTTTTTCTATGCATATATTTTATACACATATTTATGTAAGTATTTAAAATACAGTAGTCCCCCTTTATCCACAGGGGATATGTTCCAAGATCCCACCCCCCCCCGTGGATGCCTGAGACCTCAGAAAGTACTGAACCCTAAATATACTATGTTTTTTCCTATATGTACATACCTACGATAAAGTTTAATTTATAAATTAGGCACAGTAAGAGATTAACAATAATAACTAGTCATAGAAAAATTATAACAAAATACTATAATCACAGTTATGTGAAGCTGGGTGCAGGGGTGCGCGTCTGTAGTCCCAGCTACTCAGGAGGCTGAGGCAGGAGGATGGATTGAGGCCAGGAGTTCAAGGCCACAGTGTGCTATGATCGTGCCTGTCAATAGCCACTGTATTCCAGCCCAGGCAACAGAGCAAGATGTCTCTATAAAAATAATAATTTAAAAAAATTATATGAATGTGGTCTCTCTCTCTCTCTCTCTCAAAATATCTTATTGTACTTCACTCCCCTATTTTCAGATCGTGGTTGAGTGCAGGAAACTGAAACCACAGACTGGGGGGACTCTGTAATGAAAATATCCCTGCACATAAGATTCAGTATTGTGCCTTTCTTCAACCAATCTGAAGTATGAGCCTATGCTATTGGGCAATAGTGCCTGATGAACATCTTTGTACACAGATTCTTTCTCCTGATAAGTTCTTTCCATAAATTATCTAGCAGTGAGCAAAGGCATGGTCATAACTTTATAAAGCTCATTTTTTTTCTTTATGTTCAGAGCTAATTAGTGATTAAAGCTCCTTGTTTTTATGGGCAAAATGCTTTCCAGAAAGGCTCTGCCAATTTACATATCCACTAGCAGTATATGAAACTGTCTTTGTAAATTCAATAAATAGGATTGTTTATTCCGTGTACGCTAATATCTCTGTTTTAATCTAGTTGGTTGGTGATCTAGATTATGAAAATCCAAGCAATCTAGCAGCTGGAAATAAATACACAGTGATAATCCAGGTGCAGGATGTTGCCTCTCCTTACTATAAAAGCAAGTATCATTTTGATTTATTTCATGAGCATCTTCCTTGAGTAGCTACGACTAAGCTACACTAGGCAATGCTAGATGTTGTGCCAGGTCCCCCATCCCATAAGCACTGCTCTGGCGCAGGGTACTCCTCTTTCTTGGCTGAATTACAACACTTAAAAGAATCTTTTAAGGGTCTCTCTGCCTTCAGTCTTGCCCCTTTCCAATGCACCCTCTCCATTTCTGGCAATGATTTTTCAGCAAATGCAAATGCCATCATATTACTCCCTTGGTTAAAGCACTTGAATGTCTCCTGTCGCTGTCAAGTTCAAGTTCAAACTTTGACTTGGCATATGAGGATTTTCATCATCCAGCCACTGCTTAAGCCTCAAGCTTCAGCTCCTGTCACTCACCTCCAAGCCCCCTTTCTTTCCAACTGGGCCAAATAGCTTGCAGTTTTGCTGAGTGAGTTATGCAGTTTTATACCTTGCTATTTTTGCATATGCCTAGAACACCCCCTAATCCCACCCCTGCTGCATTTGTCTAAGCCTGTGCTTGTAAAGCTCAGCTTATGCATGTCTTCCTGGAAGCTGTTCCTCCCCCGGGGCTCCACCGTGATCGGTATGTACATGGTTTATCAAAGGGTGACCACCCTCAGCATCTTGAGGGCAGGAGCCGCCAGGTCTTATTCAGCTGGTGTCCCTGGTACACAGAGCCTGTACCCAGAAGGTTCTTTAAAGATGTTGAATAAACAAATGAATAAGGATTGGCAATTAAATTTGTTTCTATTTCCATTTTTAGATAACATCTACATTTATATCCTGACAAACCCGGAAAATGAGTTTCCTCTCATTTTTGATAGGCAATCCTACGTATTTGATGTGTCAGAATTAAGGCCAGGTAAGTAACAGACAAGACGCCGACCACTGTGCTCTTGATGGATTCCATCCAAATAAATGTCGTGCAGAGGGGAAAACTCCCACCCAGAGGCCCCAGTGGTGTTTTGCGCAGTGATTCACAGCTGATTAGTATTTATTGCACCTCTCATTTCTTTTAAATTTTCCTTGCTGCTGAGGAGCCCTTCAGGTGAAACTTGGATTTGGAAAACTGTTGATTAAACTGCATTTTTCTGAAGCCCCTGATTGCTTCCTTGTCTGTTTGCTTGATTCTGCTAATCCTCCCTTTTTGTAACTTAAGTTGTCTCTTGGTCTCTGCTGTGATTTTTATCCAGCTCACTCAGAGAATTGAAATTTTAAAAATAGAAAAAAGGTTTCCCATTTCTATATTTCCTTCATTTAAAAACAAAATAAAGACATTTTCTCTCTCCCCTACTTGGATTCACTACAGGCCTTCTTTTCTGCCACTTAGGACACCTTGATTTTTGCAGGCTCTTCCCTTACTAAAGAGAAGATCTCCCACTTCTAGCTTCAGTTTCTCCCTCTCTCTTCCAGTCTGAAGGTAATACTGTTAACTCTCTACTACTGCTGTCCCCAATCCCTGGGCCACAGACTGGTACCAGTCCACGGCCTGTTAGGGACGGGGCAGCAGACCTCTGCCAGCCGCCATCCCTCCCCTGCCCATTCGTAGAAAAATTGTCTTCTATGAAACTGTGGGGGCACACAGCAGGAAGTGAGCAGCGGGGTGAGCAAGGGAAGTGTCTCTGTATTTACAGCCGCCCCCAACCGCTTGCGTCACCGGCTGAGCTCCACCCCCATTCATGGAAAAATTGTCTTCCATGAAACTGGTCCCTGATGCCAAAAAGGAAAAAGGTTGGTAGACCCCCCCACACAGCTTTTGATCTTTAACTCATGGGTACTTCATCCATATTAAAAGTACCAAACCAAACACATAACATTCCCTCTAAAATGATCTCCTCTCCATTTTCTTCTCTTTTTCCTGACATTCAGTTTTAAAACAAAACACAAAATGAAAGTTCAAAGAAAATGCTTTTAATTGCTTATACCTTAACCAGTGAATAACAGGAATAGGCTGTCTGAGTTCACAGATCTTATTTTGGATCATCTACTTCAGGCCACGCACTTAGTGCTGGAGCTGCAGAATTGAGTTAGAGGAGGTCCTTGAGGAGTGTAATTTACGAGAAGGAACTCCTATAAAACAAGCAATGCAGAACTCTAGCAGTGTCACCAACAATTTCTAAAATAAGCATAATGGAACAGTATTTAAAAAGCTATACTCTAATCATCAGTTGCTAAATTCTTTAAAAATTGTTTATTTTTTCATCTGGTTTATAAAAGCAATTCATGCTCATTGTAGAAAACTGGAAAATACAAGAGACTTTTAGACACTACAGCAAAAAGCTGTATGTGTAAGGATGGGTGTTCTTTGCACTGTTGTTTATGATAGCAAATAATTGGTATTCTTGGAGTCTATGTAAAAGCATGAAGTGTCTTTTATACCTCACAGTACTGCTGGGATCATAGGACCAGTTACCTAGTGTGTGCTCATTAGCATTATTTGAATTTAATAGAATTGAAAATATAAAACATACAGAGTTTGAACAGCGAGGAGGCCTCCAGAAGTCTTCCTGCCCACGGCAAGGAGGACATCTGTTCCTGGATCATCCTCTCCCACCTCCAAAAGCAGGACTAACTGCAGGTACTTTATTTCTCCAGCTAGAACCCGCATTGGACAGGTGCAAGCGACTGATAAAGACTTCCCCCAGAGCAGCACCACGTACTCCATCTCCACCGGAGGGGCCAGCCTCCAGTACCCAAGCATATTTTGGATTAATCCTAAAACCGGAGAACTCCAGCTAGTAACTAAAGTGGACTATGAAACAACCCCTGTCTATATTCTCAGAATCCAGGCCACCAACCACGAGGACACAAACTCGGTCACTGTGAGTGGGCCCGTTTGGTATATTCCCGCTAACCCAACTGGTTGACTTAGGTTCTGCCCGGCACCCCTGGGGTGTGGTTGCCGCTATGAGGAAACTTCGCAGGCCACATCCTGCAGAAGTGACCGGAAATGAGTAGTGGCGCCTGGGAAATAAAGATTCTGGTCTTTCTTTGAGACCCAAGTTTGTGGGTGGCTGAGAGAAATACTGAGATTGATGGCCAGATATTGGAATATCTGCTGAACTCATAAAGCCACTTCATGGGACAAAGCTCCTCCCGTGGCCCTTTAAATCTCACTTTGCTTTTGTGGTTGGCTGGTGCTGAGATGGCCATGGCCCGGAAGTCAGGTGTGGTGGCTTCGGAGTTATGCATTTCCTCCTCCAGAGCACATTTGCGTGTCCCTGCCCCACTCCCCCCACACCAGATAGGGCAGATCTTAAAACGATGCTATGCTGCTGTCCTGCTTCCCAGCTGTTGATGCTAAGAATCCTGCGAAATGCAGATTCTGCGTCAGTAGGTTTGGGGCCTGAGATTCTGCATTTCTTTTTCTTTTTTTGAGACAGAGTCTCACTCTGTTGCCCTGGATAGAGTGCCATGGCGTCAGCCTAGCTCACAGCAACCTCAAACTCCTGGGCTCAAGAAATCCTCCTGCCTCAGCCTCCCAAGTAGCTGGGACTACAGGCATACGCCACCATGCCCGGCTAATTTTTTTCTATATATATGTTTTAATTGTCCTGCTAATTTCTTTCTATTTTTAGTAGAGATGGGGTCTCGCTCTTGCTCAGGCTGGTCTCGAACTCCTGAGCTCAAATGATCCACCTGCCTCGGCCTCCCAGAGTGCTAGAATTACAGGTGTGAGCCACCACGCCCGGCCCGATTCTGCATTTCTAACACGCTTCCAAGTGGTGCCGGTGCCACCGGCCCACAGCCACGCTGTGAGTAGCGAGTGTGTAATAGGCCTGTGTCAGCAGTAGTTAGGATTATCTGAGGGCAACACGATGGCCACAAAGACCGAGCTATTCCTTGGTCTTTCCCATTAGTAAAGTGGAAAGGCACGAAGGCAGAATGAACTCTGAGCTAGCAGCAGGCAGCCCTGCGCGAGGCAGACAATGATTAGTTCAGAGTCAGGAGACTGAGTTCATGTCTCAACTTTGATCCCAATTTTCGGACGGAGTCTGAGCAAGCCTTATCTCCGTGTCCCTATTTCTCTATCTCTTAAATGGAGAGTCACCTGATAACCCAATGCCTGGAAAGTCTGGTTCCTCTGATGACTCGCTTTGAATTAATGGGATGATGTTTTTAATGATATGGAGGCGAGGCATTGCTAGCCCAGGAAAGTCGGAGATAATTGCGGTGTTTGTTAGGCTGGGTTTTTTTGAGAAAAATGAATGGACTCCACCTTGGGAGCTAACTAGAGTGAACATTTCAATTTATTCTTGGGCTCAGAAATAGCTGAAATCCCCAAATTTCAAAGGTAGAATGAATACGACTCAAAATTCATAAGCTTTTAAAAAGGGTGATGAACTAAATGATCACACAAGTCCCTTTCAGGGCTGACATTCTATGATTTCTGTGCTGGCAGGCGTCCCAGGCTATATTCCAATTCACCAGGCATAAAAGACAGCGCTGAAAGAGAATAGGCTGGCCCCTGTGCGTGGCAGGTTAGCCCCAGGGCTGAGTGCAGTGCTAATAGCCCAGGTTACAGACGAGATCCCAGCTTAACCAGACCCACTTGTTCTGTCCCAGTGGGTCTTAGCCCTCTGCATATTAGAATCAGCTGGGGAACAGGAAAAAAGTGCTCTGGGCTCTACCCTCCAGGGAGTCCAATCCATTTGGTTTGAAGTGGGCCCAAGAAAGTGGACCAGGGTCGGGGACCATTGCTGTATATGCTAAAGCTAAAGACTGAACTTCCAAAGCACAAGGGGCAGCGAGCAGGGGTGCATGGGGTCACCATAAATCCACACTACTACTAGAAAACCGCCAGCATCATCTGCAGGTGAGCCCATGTGTCTAGGTGCATGTGTGTGGGGTACGTGCATGTCTGCATATACTACAGGCACACATACACGTGCATACAGTGTTGAAGTTAACAGCACAGGATTTAGAGTAGGACAGACCTCAATTCAAATCCCAGCTCTGCCACTCACCAACTGAATGGGTTCAGGTCAATTACCTAATCTCTCCAAACCTCCATTTCCTCATCTATAAAATGGGAATAATGATGTTATCAATCTCATGTGATGTTAAATGAGCTAATCCATGCAAAGTGCTTAGCCCGAAGGTGCCCGGCACACAACAAACACTCAAAAAGTCTCAGCTGTTAAGAATGACCTTCTTGCTGCTCTAGGTGACTGTGAACATCCTTGAAGAAAATGATGAAAAGCCAATTTGTACCCCAAACTCTCATTTCATGGCCATCCCAGTGGATCTGAAGGTTGGCACAAATATTCAAAATTTCAAGCTGACGTGTACCGACCTTGACTCCAGCCCCAGATCTTTTCGTTATTCCATTGGCTCAGGTACAGTATTTGGTGGTGACAGCCCTGGGCCCTGTCTCTGAGGACTCCACAGTTGTCTAGAGAAAATGTCTTGGTGCCTTGCTCACACACTGATCTGGGCACAGTGGGGGCGAGAGTTGTGGGGGTGTTTTGGATGAGGAAAGCAGAGATGAAGAGTCTAATGCTAGACTCCTCTTGGCTTCCCCTTCTCCCCTAACTCTTCCCAGACCCCCACGCATGGCTGCCCGAAGGCCCAAAAAAGGGTAAATCTCATTGGTTAACTGCCCCCCACCACCAAATTCATGATTATGAGTCATAGGTCATATTAGTGTAATTAAAAAAATTTAGTCCAACTTTTCAACCACCTCTTTTACTGAAAGCTTGTAGTGGGGGCAGGGAATCCCAGTCCTCTCTCTGGATAAGAATAGATTAAATAGATTAAATGCATTTTGAAATGTGTCCTCAGGAGTTCTCTTCTGCTCCATTCATTTTCTCTCTTTAAAAATATACCATTGTGGGGAAAAAAGAGCACCCCTCAATGGAAATTAGACCAAAATAGCTCATTTAATGAAGTGCTGAGGCCAGAGATTTAAACCCAAACAAGCAGAACAATTCCACGTGAAAGAGTAAAAATCCATCTCTGCTGCCTGCTGAGCCCTTGGCAGAGCAGGAACTCGAACAGTAGGAAGCCTCTCGAGCAGGCTGTGTCACAAAACCCAGGGGCAGAAACTGCCTCGAGACTGCAGTTGCTGAAGATGGAAATAATCCATACTGAGAACCCTAAGGCCTTATGGAGCACTTTGCTGCTAAGGGAGCAAAAATTGCATCATCTCCTGCTCCATTTACTGGGGTTCAGCCAGTAATGAGTCTGGAGCCGGTGGAGGAGTGAGTGCGCCTGCGTGTGCTGGCGGCCTTTCTGCCCCAGGCTCCGGGAGCTGAGCTCTGGGCCCCAACAGAGCTGATGGTGCACGGAGCTGGGTGCACGTTTAGGGTGCGATGGGGTGGGTTCAGGAGGACCTGGGGCTGCAATCCCTGCAAAGCCAGGAGGCACCTTCCTTTGGGGGACTCCAGGGACATCTGCAACCAGTGGGACCAGCCAGGTTCCATGAAAGGCAGGAGGTGAACTTGGCCTATGGCTGGGGATGTGACCGGTTGGACCCTCTCACTGCGCACTCACTTGTCTGAGTGTGAGTTATACATGCTGTTAGCAAACAAATGCCAGATGACAAACTGGAAAGGGCTGCACCAGGATTATGAAGTCTCTACCCGAAGCTCAGTAAGATGGCATGTAGGATAGGTGTAGGATGGGTGTGCTGTCGTCCCTTTTAACTCATTCTTGCCTGCAGCCATGCTGGTTGTGAGCAAGAATTTCTTTGCATTAGTGAAATCTCTGGTGCAGTTAAGGCCATAGCATATCACTAATCCAGCTCTGGAGCGTCGGAAACATGGTCTACACTTGAGATGTGGACATTTGAGAAAAAGACCGAATGCAATTTTCTTTTAAACCTTTTTTTCTCGCTCTTTTTTCTTCTTTTTGCCAACATCCTTGCATCCAATCTCATTTAGGCAACATCAATGGTCATTTCACCTTCTCTCCTAATGCTGGATCCAACGTGACACGCCTGCTGCTTGCATCCCGCTTTGACTATGCTGGGGGGCTTGACAGGATCTGGGACTACAAACTACTCGTCTACGTAACAGATGACAACTTGCTCTCCGGCAGGAAGAAAGCGGAAGCTCTTGTTGAAACAGGGACGGTGACACTGAGTGTTAAAGTCATTCCCCACCCAACCACAGTCATCACCACAACCCCCAGGGTAAGGGCTTTGGCATCTGGAAGCCCAGCCACATTCCATTGGGATTTATGTCGATGGGACCCTTTGACCCAGGAGAAACGTAGGATGGACTGAAAAGAGCTGAGGTGTTAGGATGTTGCCAAGAATGGCAACGACGGGCTGGACTGGAGCAGCCACTGGTGGTGAAGATCAGGCTGAGACCTTGGATTCGTAAAACCATGAACGTTTCCTATTCTGGGAAAGTGGAGTGTGCGTTTGTGCAGGGAGAGATCAGACACTAACCACCTGTGCGGGGCGTGTGGCCATTTGCTACCTCCACAGCCCCTCTCTGCTTGTTCATAGGAGCCACAGCAAGTGCGTGTCCACGTGGTCAGGCTGCCAGCTGTCACCATGTGTCAGTCTGTACCCCACTCCCCACCTCCACTTCAAAAACATTCATCCAATCTACAAATATGGATCTAATGCCTATAATGTGCCAATCACTTCAGTGAACACGCCCCAAATGATCCCTGTTCTCACGGAGCTTATAGGTCGGTGGTTCTCAAAGTGTAGCCCCCAGGCCAGCAGTGTCAGCGTCACTGGGATACGTGTTAGCAATGCGGATTCTCGGGCCCACCCTGGGTTATTAAATTGCACCTCACCCAGCTGTGACCGTCACCATGACCTCCAGGGGAGGATGCTGGAGCCTGGAACCCCCAACTCCATCCCCTGACCCGCTGGATCAGAAACTCCGGAGGTGGGGCCCGGCAGTCTGTGTTTCTGATAAGCCTACCAGGGAATTCTGATGTGCACTAAAGTTTGAGAGCCACCGACCTGGGTGGGGTAGGTTATAAACAAGTACATAAATTAATAAAATGAAAACATAGTGGTAAATGGCAGGACGAAAACAACCAGGTGCTTAGCAGAATCGGTCTGGGGAGGGAAGGGAGAACCTTACAATCTGACAGCAGGATTATCTCCCCTACCCCTCAGAGGAACTGGCCTACATTTACACTGACCCTTTTGTCCCCTTTCCTCCTCCCAGTAAAAGCTGCAGCCCTGGTCAGTAACCTCATACTTGTAGCACGCCAGGAGAAAAGTAATCAGAACCTTAGAAAACCACCTGTGGAGGTGGCCAACTTCTGCTCCTCAGGGTCTTACCAAGAGCTGGTCAACGCTTCTCTGTCTAGCGCTCGGGTCAATGTGACCCCAGTGAATGGAGGTGCATGGCATCCCTAAGGGCTTTCCGTTGTGACAGCAGCTACTAGGCACCTTTGAGTAGGGTGTTGCCACCTTTCTCGGGCTTAACAGCGTAGGGTAGGGTGTTTGAGTAGGATGTTGCCACCTTTCTCGGGCTTAACAGCGTAACCTGTTTGTGACATCTCCAATCCTGAAATCTCCGCAACTTGTCTGTTATCTGTCTTCAGCTCTGGGAAGCAGATGCTGAACTCGGGCTTCACTGTGATATCAGCCCACTCATCTGGCAGTGGCAGCTTGTAGTCAGAGAACGCTGAAAAGCCTACAAGGTGTTAAAAAAACAACTTTCATGGCTCATGCCTTCTCAGTGAGAGACAATGGCTATATTAGGCCCTGGGTTATACCCAGATATGGCAGGAAAAAAAGCCAATGGACTTTTTTAGCTTTGGGGAAGGGGAGGAAAGACAGAATAAAATTAGGCTGGAGTTGCTTTTTAGTTCTCTAAATTCCCTGGGTTCTGATCTAATGGATGTCTACAAAGACTATAAATACGGTGATGGGTTGAAGCAGCAAGAGCTACGAGCACGCAGATGTTCAATTTATAGAGCAAGAACAAAGAGTGGAATAAACACTCACACGAGGAAGTACTGAGTGTGAAAATCACCACCACCCTTCGCTCACCCTCCCACGCTCTGTTGTTCCAGCCCAGGATCACCTACCAGGTCCTGAGGAAGAACGTTTACTCTCCGTCCGCGTGGTATGTGCCGTTCGTCATCACTCTGGGCTCCATGTTGCTTCTGGGTCTCCTGGTGTCCCTGCTCGTCCTGTTGGCCAAAGCCATCCACAGACACTGCCCCTGCAGGACTGGGAAGGACGAGAAACCTCTGTAAGTGGCCAGTGGGCTGGGCCCTTTCCTCCACTTCCTTTAGGGCACTGTTCCCGGTGATGTCAGGAGAAGGAGAGACGGAGAATCAGGATTTCTCTATGGAGCAGGTGCCTGGATGAAAGAATCCCTGCTCTTTTCTGTCCTGCTGTGCCCGCTTTGTCACCTGCTGGGCCCGCTTTGTCACCTGCTGGGCCAGGAAACCATTTCTTTGGCTTTTCCTGGCAACCTACCCTGTCCTTGAGGGGCTCTCAATGGAATTGGGACATCAACCTTTTGGTGACCTTGCCGTGGGTAAAAGCTTCAGAAAGCCCTATTGTGAGTAGTGATAGAAATTTGCAGAATATTTAAAGGATGGGATAGAATTAAAGGTGAAAAACCGATAAGGGAATTAAGCTTTTGGCTCTAGTGATCACACTGTGTTTCTGTGTGACTAAATAGTCATTGTTCTTCTGCATGTGGCTCCCACCTCTTGCTCTCAAGGGCCCCTTCCTATTTTCGCCTGCTTACTAAGAGACCTCTGATTGTGACAATCTGTGGAGTGTCTTTACTGGTTAAAGTAAAGTAGTAAAGTGAAGTGAAGAGGGCATCAAATGGTTACACACTTTTCCCAGAGCCAGCTTTTCTAATTCTCAGCAGCTCTTACAACTAGACCATAATGGTTTTGAGCCTGAGTTTTGGAGTTAGGCAAGGCCTGGGTTCAAATCTTGATTTTACCATTTTCTGGGTATATGGCTTTGGGCAAGTGACAACCTTTCTGAACTTCAGTTTCCTTATTTGTAAAACTAAACAACTAAATGAGCAAATGCAAGCAAAGCACATAGCACTGTTCTGATACAGAGTAAATGCTTAATACACCACAGCCATTCTGTTTCTTATCGTATTTCATTTTTCTTCACGGCTGAGTCCCAGTGAGTTTGGGACTCTAGATTCCAGTTTAGCTCCATGCCCAAGTATCTTGAGGTGTTGAAATCTCTTGAGTTTCAGGATTTCTCAATGGCAAAAAGAAGGGGTGATAAGACTCATGTGCTTTTTAAAGGTATTTTGAAGATTATTAATAGTCAAATAATTTAAAATCTATGGGTGAAAGATTGTAAAAAATATAAGGTCTTAGCATGAAGATGTGCATTGCGTTTTGCCATATTTATTGGGGAAGTTTGTTGCTATTGGCAACCTTGACTTCAAGGTAAAAAATCCTTGAGCATCTGCTGAAATTAAAAAGGCATTTTTGTTTGAACTCTACTCACAAATTCATTTGGGGGGAAAAAAAAACCAACCTAACTCTAAAAGGGTGACACTTAAGCTTGTAAGGATGGTGGTGCACTGTGATGGGATTTGGGTAGAAGTTCTTTAAGGAAGTAATTCCACGGACATTGCAACTCCATGTAATTTATGGCTAAATGTTAAATATGCACCTTGAACCTGGTTGTTTTAACTTATATTGTAAATATAGTTTTCAACATGGTTGACTTAGAAAACAAAAACTAGCTAGAAATTCAGATTCAGACCCACCTCTCTGGAAATTAGTTGCACCATATGACAACCAACGTTTGTCAAATAGCAAAGAATAAAATTAGAGTTTCAGAATTACAGACTCCAAGGTTGTCATGGTAAAGGTCTTAGAGTCCAAGTCCAGCTCTTCATGTGACAGGAAACCAAAGTTTAACTGCCAGCACTCAAACCTCCCCGTGGTGAGCCATGCCTTCTGCTCAGCCAGCTACTGCGTAGAAAGATGGGGCAGCCCAACTGGGGTGGTCATGTCCTCACCAGGTGTCCTCGTCACAGACAGCATATTCCCTGAAGCTCTATAAGGTGACAGCTTTTAAACTCATCAAATTCCCAGAACCTCCCCAACCCAAAACCAAAGTGACCGAGCTGTGCAGTTGGAAGCAGCATTGTAGCCTAGCCCCTGAATCTCAGGGAACACAGTTGCCCACAGGACCCTATGTTATCATGTGTGTGCCAGGGCAGAATACTTTCAAGTTAATTAATGTCCATTCCTTTTTTTCTCCCATAGGGCAAAGAAAGGAGGTAGGTACAGCGCCTATTTCCTTTATTCGTTTGTTGTTTTCTGCTCTGTTGTGCTATGTAAAAAGGCTCCAACTCAGCAGAGACTCATGGCGCCATGGTGTCTTGATGGGGTTTCAGCTGCATCACCTGTGGGTGGAATGAAGCAGAGGTCGGCTGTAGCTGGAGAAGGGGAAGGGAGGGTGTATGATGCCTTTGGCTCACTTGGATCTCTCACTTTGGTCCTGCCTGTGCCCTACCCAGGGTTGTGTCCAATCAGCTCAGCTTAAGCACCTGGTCTATTCCCCACTGAGTGGGACAGAAATAAAGAATTCTCCATGTGGGAAACACAGACAGTAACTATTGGCTGCTGCACATGGAGGGGTGTCCTGAGGACAGCTAATGCTCTATTTTGGATGCCCGCCTCTTTTGAAAGAACAAATGATACTTGATTCTCAGATTCTAATAGATTTGGTCATTTTCACAAATTATTTAGGTCAGACTAGTTAGAAAGGGGAGCTAGGGGCAGTTAGATGAGCTGGGAGAGCTGAATGATTTCCGGCAAGTTGGTAAACTGAGGAAGGTCCATCTGAACAGCTACAGGCCCGAGGAGGTGTCTTATCCTGGCCCAGCAGGCGAGTTGTGGCCTCAAGTAGACTCCAGGCTATGGGGAGAGACAGGACAAAGAATTGGAAAGTATTTTTTTTAAATGCTTGCTTTAATCAGCCCATCCACTGGCGTGTGTGTCTGACATACACAGACATGTCTAAGCAGGGTTAGAAATTTGATTATAATGGTTATTGATCATATTGAGTGAGATGATTTTAATAAATGATATTTTCACAAACTGTCTCCAATCCCAGTTACTTTTCAAAAAGGGCATGAGGAGTGAGCTTAAGAAATCCCCATGTTGTGAACAAATGTTTCAACCCAATCTTTCTTTCTTATCTCTAAAGCCATTTAAAAGCTAATTTCCTAAGTCCAGTGATAACAATAAGCTGGAAAAAGAGTAAAAAAATTTTAATCGTGTGTGTATAATATATGCATGTGAATATATGTTTTTCTGAGAAGATGGAAAGCTGTCAACAAACATGGCTACAGATAGAAAACTTCTTTGCTGTGTCTGCAAGACCGAGTTGAAAGCCTATTTAGGGGAAATCCCATTGTGGGGGTAGAATTTTAAGGTCAATTTAGTGCCCAAGAAGCTTACCTTCTGCCTGTTCTGTTCCCTGCAGAAATGAAGAATGCAGAGAGAGAGGTGCTGGTGGTGAGTCCGGCCAGCCGTGGGGGCCCTGGCTGGGGTGCTGGTTGGTGGGGGACCTCATTGCCCCCCGGGCTGGCCTGCCATAGCCCCGGGGAGGTGTTTATCATTCAGGGAGGTGCTTGCATTTGGCCAGTGGAACAGATTGCTGGGTGACGAGCTCCTGATAGAATTTGTTCCCTCCACTGAACATGTCTGCTGATATATTTGCAGAACTGGATTTCATAAATATTGAGTAGTGGTGTTTATTATCTATCCCAGCTCACCGGGAGAGCGAATTGGAGGAGTGAAGCTTAAAGACCAGAACTGGTGCTTCAGCCTTCAATGAGATTTAATATTTCTTTGCTCTTCCACAACCTTGTAGAAAAGCAGTAGAGAAAGCACTGCTTGGGTCTGGGGTTGGCTCTGCCCACTTAGTCATACGACCTTGGGGACTCCCTCGGCCTCTTTGAGCTTTACGTTCCTCACCTGTAAAATGGGAGTGAGGATGCCTGCCCTGAGATAACAGGTGGGAAAATGCTTTGAAAATTGTTAAATGTGACACAAATGCAGAGTGTTACAGGATAGCTGGAGAGTTACCTTCTCCGTCTCACCCACTGGACCTGATCTACCCACCTGGGAAGTGATGGGATTTGAAGGGGACTGTCCCCAGCTCTTCCCCACCCCCTGAGAATAAGACCTTGTCATAATCCAAGACCCACAAATTTGAATGATGTGCCAGTGCCTCCTCCAATGAGGGGGTCGATGCAGTGTGCTGGAATTTTAGGCCCATCCATCACTTAGTGTGTACATGTTCTGGTCAGTCTACAAACAGCAGGAAGAGGAATCCTGGTCTGCGGGGTGCTATTGTCTAAGGCAAGTCCCCTGGGGGATGCCACTCAGAGATTATCTTAGAACTACGCAATATTAAATTAATCTATTAGGTAAATAAATCCCCAGGACCACAAAAAGTGGCGCTGCTTAGTGGGTGGAATGGGTGAAATGTAATCCCCATTTCTTCCCTCTTCAGAGTTGGGGAGCCGTAGGGAACTGAGAAGGTGATCATTTATGTGATGAAAACTGGGGATCAAAAGCCTTGCCAGACTCCAGGCACCATCCTCCTTACTGCACTACAGACTCTGACTCTGGTACCTGCAGAGGGCGACATGTGAGGGAAGGCAGTGTTTCTATGGGGAAGAGGGACAGGTACATCAGACAGGGTCAGGGCCTGGAGGGCGGCACAGAGTACAGATCAGGGGAGGGAGAGATAGGGAGCACAGGGCTTGGGTGAGGCCTGGATGCCATGCTGCACTGGCCTAGGCTAGGGGAGGCATCGGGAGAGGGTGGGGGTGCCAGGGCTGGGGTACCGGCACCTGGGGGCTCACCTGTGTCCAGCTTGCAAGTCCACCTGACAGTGACCCCACTGGGGCAGTGTAGGTCTTAGCCTGTGTTGTGTGGCATCTCTACTCTTCCATCTATGCAGCTTAGATTTCATTTACTCAAGATGCTTTCTTAACCCCCAGATGTGCATTAAATGTCCCCCATCCCCACCTGTGCCCATAACATCCTACATCTCTCCAGTCATCACCCCATCAGTCTGCATTGCAGCACCTGTTTGCCAATGGCAAGTCTTGTGTGGCAGTAACCACCCCTGCCTTGTTCACCACTGTGTCCCCAGCACCTAACACAGTGCCTGTTAGAGCCATAAATGTCGAGGAGACTTGGGGCAAGGAACCTGGGCTGTGAGGATGAGCAACGTTGCCTGGGGGGAGGAGTGTAGGGTTGTGCTTGACGCTGTCGCTTTCTTTCCTTAGGAAACCATCCAGGTGAACACTGCCTTTGATGGAGAAGCCATAGATCCAGGTAATTAAGTGGCAATGCCACCCATAAGAATGCTGTTCATGTTCCAGACTGGAAGAGTCACGGAAGACCTTATCCAATTTCCTGCTCTTAACCCGGTTTGTCAATCTGTTTGGCTTCATTGCCTACACAGTGCTCACCCTTCTAGACTAGAATACAACGTGAGTCCAGCTCTGAACCCAGCCGCTTGTACACACTCCAGCTCACGGTGGAAGGCCACAGTGGCTGCCACCTAGAGGCTCAGGCCCCAGGTGACGCCACTTTCTCACCTCCCTTTCCAAATCACAACCGATTTAGGGAACTGGTGGGTTCAAGAACCCACATTTTTTCCTTCTCATTGGTACTCGCCCCCACCCCCCACCCCCATCCTTCCTGAATGCTCCTAATACCTTCGTATTAGTAGTGGAAGGTACAGAGAAACGGCAAGTTTCGCTTCTTTTTTCCCCTAGATCAGGGCCAAGAATGTCTTCTTGGTCGGCAAAATGAACATAAGGTAAAGCTGGCCTCCAGAGCTCTCATCACCCCCATGGAATCGGCTCCAAATTTAGCTCCTTTACACACATCCCTCCGCTTACAAAGGCTCAATTATAGACGTGAATAAAGGGAAGGAAACCAAATTCAGGAGGCAAGTGTGTTGGCTCCCTGCCACCCTCATATGCAAACCGCACCGGTCCTCCTCGGAAGGAGGATGGCTCCTCTCCAACGAGAGGCGGCTGCTGCTGCTGGAATTAAATTTCCCTCTATTATTAGGTACTTGTTACCATAATGTGCCCACATTAGCATAAGTGCTGGTGGGATCCTGGGCCCAGAGGCCACTCGTGCTGTATGGAAGTGTCGGGAGCAGGGCCTGCCTTAAACCGGAGCCTCCAGGGTGAAAGCCAGGGATGACTTGTGCATTTTTGCGTAGTTGAGAGAGAAAAGGAGGAAGCAATGTGCCAACTGGCCTATGTGAACAAACACATCAATTAGCGTCTGCTCACTCCGACACAGTAAGAATGCTCCCTGCGTCATCTCAAGTGGGGCCACATTTGTGTGTGTGTGTCTGCGAATCTCTGCTAACCTAATATACATAAAAATCAGTCTTTTCCTCCTTACTGGGTGAATTCCTTTTTATAGCAGAGATCCAGGGGTCTTTGTAGACAAACAAAATAAATCAGAAAGTAATGAGTAACACCATTAAAACTTGAACCTAATTTATCTGAAGCTCTCATGGAGTTCAAGATTTATGTGGCCTTCTCATCTTGCAATGGACATGGCCGCGAGACTCTCCTAAACATTTCTGTCCCAGGAGGCTTGATATCTGCTGCCCGTGTGGCCCGAGCCGGACAGCTGTGGCAAAGGCAGGGTGAGGATCGTCTGTGCTGTCCACACGCCTGCCTCCCGTCTCAGTGAGCCGCGCCTGGGAGTCAGAACAGAACAGGATAGAGGTGGGGGAAGAGAGACTCATTCGAGTTTCTTGGTTTACATGATTGTTGTATTTTTTCCCCCTAGTGACTGGAGAAATATATGAATTCAACTCAAGAACTGGAGCCAGAAGGTGGAAAGAGCCACTAATCCAAATGCCAAAACGGCAAGAGTCCAGCCCCCAGGGAGCTGCCCCACGCAGAGTCACTGCCTGGGAAGGGACGGGGACGCTGAGATGTACCATCCAGGAAGAGCATGAGCTGGGTGGCAAAGCGGGGGCCGAGGACGCAGGCTTAGGTTCCCGGAATGACGGCAAGCCGGGCACCCCAGAGAACAGAAACCCAGCCTTCACACGCAAGGCTTCCCCCAAAGCACACCCAGGGAAGTAAACAGTGTCTCGTTGCCAGGCCCGCCGCACAGCGCAGGGGAGGGGTCTGGCAGTCAGTGGGGAGCTGCCTCCCCCTACATTCTAAGGGGGCAGCGCTGGGCCCCGTGTAGGTGCGAAAATGTGGGCTGAGGGAATTCGCACATCCAGGGTCACAAATGGGATGTCTGACAAATTTTTCAACAAATAGAAAGGGGTTTGATCACACAATTGCCTTTTTCTGAGATAGCCAGGACAAATCTCTCTCAGGTCTCAGAACTACCTGTGCTTCTGATCAGTGGGACTGTTAACTTCCGGACACCGAATTGTTGTGTTTCCTTCTTTGCATCGACTGCTTGGAAGCTCTCTCCAGCTCATCCTAGGAAGTGCACAGGAATTCCTGACAAAAATATTGAGGACCACCCTTATATCTTATTTTCCTGCCTTTATCTTAGCATCACTCAGATTTCTTATATAGTTCAACGCCACGCCTTTGTAAGTTACCTCAAATCTTTTTCAAAAGAAGCAGAGCAGTGAAGAAATGGACGAGTAAATAATGAGATGTGCATCTGGGAAGAAGAAAACACAAGAGACATCTCCTTTTATTATTTTTTTAAATTGATGTACTGTATAACTTATAGCCAATAAAGTGCGCAGATCTCAGGTGTTCAGCTTGGTGATATGTAGACTTCTAGAGGCAACCACTATTCTGATCTTTACCATCATAGATTCATTTTGCCTTTTTTGAATTTCACGTACATGGAATTACACAGAATGTGCTCGTTTGTGTCTGGCTTCTTTTGCTCAGCATCATGCCTGTGAGATTCATCCATGTTGTACTGTATGGCAGGGGTCCAGTTTTCTTCGTGGCGTCTGGTTTCATGGTGTGATTATACCACAATTTATTTATCCGTTCTCCACTTGGGTGGCTGCTTCGGCTTTTTACTGTTATGAACTACAGCAGTATGAACTCTCCTGTACATGTCTTTTGACAAACATAAACACTCACTTCTCTGAGCCCATCTATCCTGGGAGTGGGATTGCTGGAGCAATTGCCAGATGTTGCCAAAGAGCTCCAAAGTGGTGGCTCCAATTCACACTCAGCAGAAACACTGAGGGTTCCAATTGCTCTATATCTTTGTCAACACTTGGGATTGTCAGTCCTTTTAATTTAAGCCATTCTGGTTAAAATTACTCTTGAAGTGAAATCACTCTTTTTCTCAAAGCTGAAACAACACCTACCTTACCACCTACCTGCCCTGCTCCTTCCCACTTCCTGTGATTGGAAGGAGCCACAGGACTCTGTCCAAACATACAGCTCGGACTTTCACCTGTAGGCACGAGCAATGAACTAGGAATAAATGGTACTATGATGTAAAAGGAAATGAAACTTTCAATGAGTGCCAAGCAGAGACTGAGCAAGCCTCACTTTAGCTCTATGCCCTGCTCCCCAGCTGCTGTGGCCCCAGTGCAGTAATCACGAGAAAGGACCAGGTGAGAGTCCCTTAGAGCAGCACCCCCTTCCCCGCTGGGGCTTCAGGTGAGAGCCCACCAGGCTCCTGCGGGAGACAGGATCCATCCAGCGAATGAAGAACCTCGGAGAGAGCGTTTGCTTTGTTTGCTGTGTGCTTATGCGCCAGAGTGACTACTCAAGCAAAAGAAACATTTGTAAAATGCCCTGTCCTGGCCTAGATTGGGCGTGATTTATTAATAAGGGTTGGTTGCCAGGGAACTCCCTTGAATGGGTTTAAATTTTGCAAAAGAAGGCAGAGCTGTTCAGTCGTGTAGGTTAAAGTGGGTGAAGTGGCTGATTACCCATTTAAGACTTTGCAAGTCTGTGGGGCCCCGAGTAAGATGCCTTCCTCAGAAGCTCTCGGCTTCAATGCAAGTAAAATGAGGCTCTGAGAAGGCTGAAGGGGGACTTAATAACTGTTTATAAGCCCATTAAGGATGATTAAAAGGAGGCCAGTGAGCAGCTGCTCTTCCTTCTCCAGCAATGACAGGGCAAGAGGGAATTGTGCTTTATGGCCAGAAAAGGAGATTTAAGTCAGGCAGAGGGAGGGACTTCCTGGAGGCTGGGGTCTGTCAGAAGGGCTCAGGGTCTTCCCTGGTGACAGCAGGAAGAGCTGATTGTCTTCCAAGTCCCAAGACAAACCCTGAGGAACCCAGGACTCGGGGAAGACCACACCAGGAGGAGAGAGCATCTCCTCCCCCGACCTACATTTCTTTTCCTGTTTCTTTTGTATATTTGGCTATTTGATTAGGGGAGATGCAGAAGTCTGAGGTCTAGGACTGAGGCCACTTGGTTTGGGGCAAATACATTCAGGAATTAGACCACGTAGCGATCCATAATTGTTGAAGGCTTTGAAGCCGTGTGGTAAATTCTGAAGTTGGAGCTTTTTGTTGTGCTCAGTGGAAAGCAGGGTCTGCAGCTCAGCCTGTGCGGAAAGCACGCGTGGTTCCCAGACAGAAACTGGGAAATGACACTCCTGCTCCGCAGAGCCCTTGTTCACGTCTGTGGTTCTTTATTTGCCTTTTTACTTAATGTGTTTTGTAATGGCTGCGAAAATTAAGCGACAAAATGAGTGAACATTGAAAATGATCGCTACTGAAAGTTGGCGTTTCTCATTTCAAACTTAGTGTGTGTGTTTGTGCCTCCTATTCATTCAATAAATACTACGGAGCAACGGCTGTGTGCCAAGTGCTGATTCATTAGTAAACACAACAGCCCCAAATCCCTGCCCTTGCAGAGCTTACATTCTGTCTCTGCAGCTGAGTGTAGCATGCTGGTAAGCTCTTCCAAAGGTTTCTATTTCTAGTTGCATCCTGGCCAATTTGTTTCTTGGTTCCTTGAGTATTCCATCTGAAATATAAATTAACACAAGCCTGGACTCTCTTTCCAGAGGAACAGATAATTCAGAATCATTAAAAAAAAATTTTTTTTAAACTTAATGGGGCCTGAGTACGGTGGCTTATGCCTGTAATCCTAGCACTCTGGAAAGCCAGGGTGGGAGGATCACTTGAGGTCAGGAGTTCAAGACCAGCCTGAGCAAAAGCAAGACCCCATCTCTACTAAAAATAGAAAAATTAGCCAGGCATTGTGGCACATGCCTGTAGTCCCAGCTACTTGGGAGGCTGAGGCAGGAGCATTACTTGAGCCCGGGAGCTGGAAGCTGCTGTGAGCTAGGATGACGCCACTGCACTTTACCTGGGGTGACAGAGCAAGATGCTGTCTCAAAAAAACAAAACAAAACATAACAAACATAATGGGGAGCCCTTGTTGGAAAACAGTTGAGTTGCCCAAGAGGGGGCCCCAGCCTTGGTTATCAGGCCAGCACACTGTTGATGCACCTCCAGATGGCAGCTGTAAGCCACATGTGACTGCCGCATGCAGAAGATGAAAGAATCCTGAAGCCAGGGAGCTATTTGATCTGGAGGAAAAGATCAAACATGGGGGCTGGGGGAGGCTCAGATCACCAAGACCCCCCTATGTGTCACCTGTAGTGGGGGCAAGATGTGGCTCCAGCTGTAAGGGAACAATCCAATTGAGAAGATAACCAACTCGCTAAAAAGACAACCAGCAACCACACAGGCACATGATGAGAACTAAATAAGTTCCATATGCAGTGAGTGCTGGAGAAATTATACGTGGGCCAGAGCAGCCTCTGAGAGTATGATGGGCGACCTGAAGGGGTCTTCAAGGTGGGAACGTATTCAAAGTGAGGAGAAGAGAAGAGAAGGGAAGGGAAGGGAAGGGAAGGGAAGGGAAGGGAAGGGAAGAGAAGGGAGCAAAGAGAAGAGAAGAGAAGAAGAGAAGGGAAGATAAAAGAGAAGAGAAGAGAAGAGAAGAGAAATTTTGAGCAAAGGCTAAAGCATTCAGAATCCTGGTCTTCAGTCCATTTTCGGCCAATACTTGGCTTGTGTAACCTGGAGTGGCCTAATACAGAACCTCCTGGCTATGCAGCAAGCACTCAATGAGTACCTGCAGAATGAGACTGAATTAAAAAGGCCTGTGGTTGGTTTTCTATCTAGGTCATGTAGCAGAGTCACAACTTTTTAATTAGATCTAGATAAACATATCATAATCAACACATAGATACTGAGTGCCTACGAGGTACCTGGCACTGTCCTAGGCTCTGGGGATACAGCAGTAGATAAAACATTGTTCTTAGTGTTTATATTTCAGTGAGGTGTGAAAGACTGGACATACAATCGGACCATACATAAAAATAGAACTCTGAGCCACCCTGCAGCAACCTGTCCAAGAAACCCACTCCCTCATCTACAATAAACAACCAGGATGCCAATGTACTAGCTCTAGTGACAATACAGGAAGCTAAACAATAACCCCTGTAACAGTAGGCCCCAAATGACCAGGACTTGATTACTAACTGGCAGCTTCCCTAATTTTTGTCCCTGAGTCCAACCTAGAACCCATAAGAGACAGCCAAATACACACCCCTGACCCATCGCATAGGACGCCCTGCCTCTCATTAGCGCACCTGCAGCTTCCTCATGCCAGCAGCCTCTGATCAGGGCACACCTGAAGCCGTCCCTTTTTTCCTCTATACTCTGCCTGCCTGTGGGGCTCTACCAAAACGTGAACGCAGGTGGCGGACTCCCTTGCTATAGCAAGCTCAGGATAAGCAGTCTTCACTTTTCTCATATGGCTGGTCTTTGTTTATTTCCACTGGGATGATAGAAAGCTCTGATAAATAAACATATGCTATATAAATACATTTATAAACATATATATGTATAAATGAGGTATGTTAACGGTGGTAAATGCCACTGAGCAAAGTAAATAGGTCAGGGCTTATGGAGGGTAGGAGAGCCACTTCCCACAGGTGGTCAAGGAAGGTCCCTGTGGAAAGGGGGCCTCAACAGTGGGAGTGCGGAGGGGCTGGGCAGGTGACTGGGAAGAGCCTTCCCCGAGGAGAGTGCAGGGGAGGGGCAAGGGCAAGTTGAGGAGCAGCAGGAGGACCGCAGGAGGTGACTACGGTGGGGGGAGGTGGGTGAGTGGGTGTGTACGG